TTGGCTGTTTGCAGGACTATTGGGATTGGGTTCATCCAATAGAGACTATGGAGAAAAAAATTAAATATCAGTTCCTTAATGCAAAAAGTTATGTGTTCAGGACAAACAGCTATTTTTTCAGGTAATAACAATGGAAATGTCCCAAGGAACTACTAAATTTGCTGTCTTTTTAACATAACTGTACTAACCTAGAGTTACATTAATTGTGAGTAGTTAAGCAAATACATGAGTTGCTAGGCAAATATACATGTGGCAGAGCTTTCTGTTGATTTGGGGTCTTAAAGGCCTACCTTTTATCTGTAAAATAAGCTTTAACCAAATATAAAAAGGTCTTAAGTCATGACTTTCGAAAAACAACTTGTAAACACTTCAAAGGTCACAGTCACATTGAGGAAAAATTCACCTGTATGGATGTTAAAATGGAAGACACATCATAGGTTGGACTCCAACGGTTCTGAAGTATATCCAGACATATACTACCATCTGCATAGACTAAGCACAGAAACAAGAACGTTAAACATAAGACCACGAAAGTTTTAACGTTACAGTCAAGACAGAAATAGTCAAAAGCAATACTTTGCTTTTGAAGCTTAAAAAGATTCCAAGGCTGCTTCCCAGCTAACTGCCTAAAAAGATGAATCATAATCATTACTAGTGAAATAATCAGGATGATCAGGGGATATCAAAAGTGATTGGTACAAAACTGAAAGAAATTTCATGTTCCTTCTTCTGAAGACTGCCTTATTATGCAGAAAATCATACACATTTTCTAACAGGGTCTCTATATAGCCATACAATTGTGGGAAATTCATTCTATTCATTCATTCCTCAAAGTCCTATTTCAATCTGCTGCCATCTTTAACTTCCCAATGAGAGTAAACTACATCTCCTGTGTGAATGGTAAAAGGTAGCTCAGAGTTCACAAGATTTCATCTTGTCTCAAAGGTAAAAAACATCTGATACCATGAAAAATACTTTAATAGTCTAAATAAAAAGGCAAGCTATTCTAAACTTACTACTAGGGGAAAAAAGCAAAAAAGTTGGAATCTTACAGAACTATAGCACTTTTCCAACAATATTTCAACAATAGGATCTAATATTCAGTAGGTTGGAGTGGGTTTGGGCATCTGTATTTTTCATACTTTGTGGTAATTCTGACATGCATCCAAAGTTGAAAATTATTGTTCTACATGCTAGGAATGATAATCACAACACATGGTTACCCCAATGTGACCTAGCATTAAAAGGAAACTTCAATAGCATCCTTATTTTTGTTTAATAAGTAAATGACAAATTGTTAAAATTATGAGGTGCTTAACCTCTAAACAAGGGAAAGTACCTTCACTGCTTCAATTCTATGATTACAGATCAAGATGGCAAGGGACTGAGTTCAAATTTCAGGAAACAGCAAGATGCCTAAGCAAATACCCAAGTACTATAGATAAATAAACAGGAAATGTTGAATACCACCACAATAAACATTGCAATCATTTAAAACACTATCAAAAGTGATACTTGCCATTTGGATGAAACATCTTAGAGACAAATCTAACAGTAGGTGGTTTATTCGGATATTCTTCAGTGAATTCTATTGTAAGTTTAAATGTTCCTGTAGTTAGAAAAGAAAGGATTAAGAAAATGTATTTATCACTTTGTTAAACAGTACTTTATTTAATAAAATGTAAGTTTTTTCAAGTATTAATTGAAATAATGCAAAGATGTAAAGAGGAAAGACAGATCAGGTAAGAAATACATCTCTATTAATTGCTCTAAAGAAGGACAGATATTCTAAAAACCACCACCCAAAGGTGATTTTTTTTTTTTGTTTTGCCATTATTCTCTCCCAAACTAAAATACCTCCATCATGAATTCAAAATTACTGTCTGCAGGATAACTTTGGTCACTGCATTTTGGAAATATGCTTAAAATAAAATGATAAAAAACTGGCCCCCAAATTTTGCCTTTTTCCTTTAGAAGACTGAAAGACTTCAAATTCAGCTGCCATCTTTAATTCTCCAGTGATTTTAAATGTACTAGGAAGAATAGAAGCACAGAGTCAAAAAACCAATGCTAGAAATACAAGTCTATAATCAAGTTGTTTTTAAAATTAAGGGAATATAAGTATAAAAGTGTTCAATGGTCCCTTTTCATTTAATAGTGACTATATAATGAAAATTTAATTGAATCTAAGAACAGACTTCATAGCCCCTCTCCAAAACTCTTCAGTATGACTCATAAAGTACTTCACTATAAAATCAAGTTAATTATTCACACTAATGTAGGGAATTTATGGCAGAAACCATTTAAAAATTACATTTGCTTTATATCACACTCATAACTTCTACAAACCTATTTTTTCTCATGATGTTTGTTTGGTTTACTACTATTGAAAATAAATTACTTGTCTTGAATATGTGTTACCCTAAAGTCCCAAAGGCGGTCCTAAAACATACTAAGTTATAGACAAATTGGATCTTACTCAAGAATTGTATGATATTTTGATCTGGGGAGATCATCTCCTTCAAAATGTTAAATTGTGTTTGTTAAATAATTTCAAGAACACAATCGGACAATCTGACTAAAATCTCTTCAAGTAAACTTCCGAAAGACTGAAGTTATTATCTGGTATAAGGGAATGCATGTTCTACTAATGTTAATCTAGTCCATTTAATAAATTATTTATTATAATACAATGGACCTAGTTTAGACAGAGCATAACTTATTACTGGCTCCTTCAGAATCAGCAATTTATTTTCTCCTTGTTCCCATTAGTAAGTTTATTACTGCTTAAGAAAAAAAGAATACTATCTCCATTCTACTGCTGTATCTATTACATAACAATCCCAAAATGTTTTCCTATTACAAAGCTCATAGGAAACAATTTGCTAACAAAGTTGCCCTTGGTATGAACATGTGTCCCAAAATTCAGAATACTTTAAACTGAAACAGTGTTGGGGGATGGGTAAGCTCAGTGGAACAGTGCTTGCCTAGCATGTCTGTGCAATGCCCTGAGTTCCATCCTCAGCGCTGCAAAATAAATGCAACATATAGGAACATGTTATATCCCCCAAATTATTGTCACTCCAAAAACTATTTGATTTTGGAAGCCATATATGAGGATACTATGTATTATAACTAAGGACAAAAAGTAAAATATTATGGAATGGACAAACATACCATAGTCCATCAGAACATACTCCACCTTTATCACCACCTGGTCATTAAGTCTTCCTCCTTTTGAGGAAGAAAGCACAGTCCTTCCTTTTCAGTAGGACTGAAAATATAACATGCAGGAAAAGTGGGAGTGGTAAAGAGTCAAAACATTCAGCTTTTGTATCTCAAGTGTAAAGACATCAAGATCAATGCTGAAATCTGGTTAAAGTATAGGTAAGTGACTGATAACCAATAAATTGCTCTAAAGTTGGGCAGACTTCACAGCATACCTTAAATCAAGACCATCATTAAATATGATCTCTAAAGGTGGTAAAACCTAACATTAGGAAAGCATAAGCAAAATCAGAAGAGCACAGCATTTGTAAAAGTACAAAATTTGTAGTCAGACAGATCTGGGCACAAGTCCTTGCTTTGCTACTAACTAGCTGTGAAACCTCAGGGATGGTGTTCAACTTGACTAAACCTCAAGTTCCTTGGGCTGGGGATGGAGCTCAGAGGTAGAGTGCTTGCCTAGCATGTACAAAGCCCTGGGTTCAATCTCCAGCACCACCAAAGTAAATAAGAATAAACTGGAAAGTCTTCATATGTAAAGTGAGGTTAATAGTAGCAGTCACCACTCACCACAGCATTACTGAGCTTTACTTTAAACAAGGTAAATATGCATAGTGCCACAAAATTAAGTGCTCCATAAACATAGGAAATTATTTAAACTATAATTCTAAAGTCTTAAATCTCAGTAAGAAATACACAGTTAATGAATTCAGATATCAAATAGTGCTTGCTTTCTGGCATACAGCAAACTCTCACGGTTAAATGCAAGTTGAATATACATGTTGTTGGCTCACAAATTCCTTGACTTGAGCTTTCTGCCTAACACTTGCCTAGAAGTTCAATAAGAAGTATATCAAACACCTTTTAAAACAGCTTTTAATATTGAGAAGTAAAGCAACCTGTTTATGTCTACCTGTACATAAGTTAAAACCAAATTCTTATTGAATGTACACATTAGAAAGGGGGTATTTCACACTTTTAGCCACACTGTTTAATGTCACACCCTCTTTAGTACAACCCTCAGTGCAATTCCTAAGACCTAGACAAATGTTATGAAATTCAAAACTCTCAGAATTAATAGTATACAATTTGAAATTACAGCTTACTCTCAAAGTATTTAGAAGGGTAGGCTTTAAAATAACTGAAAACTTGGGCCTCATCACTGTTGTACCCAATTTCTACTGGTTTTGTTCATTATTATTCAATGTTTTGAGGAAGCCAAAACATTGTAGGAAAAGTAACAATCCATCTATACATAAAGAACAGGAACCTAAAACTAAAAAATAAATATTAAAAAAAGGGCTGGGGATGTGGCTCAAGTGGTAGCGCGCTCGCCGAGAATGTGTGAGGCACTAGGTTCGATTCTCAGCACCACATAAAAATAAAATAAAGACATTGTGTCCACCTAAAACTAAAAAATAAATATTAAAAAAAGAACAGGAAAATTGTATGAATGTGTTAAATGGCTAGTATATGGCAATAAAGACTGACAGGATTGAACTAGAGATTGTATGTTTTGCATAAAAATATACACAAATCCAAATTTTTGAAAATACATGTTTGGCCAAAGAAAACCCCCCTGCAGGTGTTTTCTGCCATTTGGCTAGTACTCTGTGACTTTGCCCAAGGGCAAGGTAAAGCACATGTAATTTAAATTTTTTTTGATAACTGAAAATTATGATTTTTAAGATAATACTCTAAACTCTTTCATCACAGGATTGATTTGAAGAACACCCTGAGTGGACTCTGATTTCATTAAAAAAAAAATAGATTTACATTTGACTTCTTAAGAACACATGTATTATGAAAGCAAATATAGTACCTTACCATGTCTATTAACAATTTTTAGATGATATGATGAATATTATATTCTATAATTTGTATTCACTAATATATACCAAGACATTTTGATGAGGAAGTATTTCAACCCAATGTTTTGGTAGTATAAGTTCTTCAGAACATATTATCTTACTTTAATTACATGAAGTCAAGTCAAACTACCTTTAAGAATTCCTTAAGATTTCCTCTATTTAGGGCCTGGCTGTCCCAGAAACTTCTACATGTGTGAATGGTTTACAGGAAGAAGCAAAAGTAGTTTGAGGGTTCTTAATATGTATAAACACATTGGAAATAATAAAGTCAACTACGTTTACTTATCCCTATCAGTCTTTTCCTTAACTATAAATTCCCCAACTATAAATAGGGGTATTCATAAAATAGTCAAACATATTTTTTACAGCAAGTTCTAGGCATCTGTGGAGATCAGACTCTTTGACAGAATGAATCTAAGAAGGCTACTGTCATTTAGCCTGAGTAATTCCTTTCAGTAATGCCAGAATGGAGATACACATCATCAAAAATAGAGTCAGTAATGTCAAAAGGGACGGTCCAGGTAGATAATGGATTCCATAAGTACCTTTTCAATTCATACCACTTAAAACAAGAGAAGCACCCTTGAAATTTTAAGTAGCCAACCTCCAGCAAATGTATTATTAATAAACTGTGCCTAGCATAAAACAGTCTGAATAAAATGAGGGAAAAAGACAATGAAAACACAGCCTACTAGACCTGAAGCAAAAACAGTTAATCTGCATGCAAAGCTTAAGTGTAAAAAAATTAGCACCAGCCAGGAGTGGTGGCACATATCTGTAATCCCAGTGACTCCAGAGGCTAGGGCAGGAGGATCACAACTTCAAGACCAGCCTTAGCAACTCAGTGAGGTCCTAAACAACCTAGCAAGACCCTGTCTCAAAAAATAAAAAGGGATGTAGTTCAGTGGTTAAGCATCCCCGGATTCAATCCTCAGTGCAAAACAAAACTAGCACTAATCTAGTAGAGAAAAATTAAATCTAGCTAGTTCTTGCACCAATCAGTTCAAATGATTAACTGCACCAAAGTAATATGTCCTTAGGCTCCCTCCCTCCCTCCTATCATATCTTTTTATCAAAGCACTGAAGAACAGTGCTATTTACCCAGGGGGTAAAGTAGAACATAAGCTAAAAGTATTCAGGTGACTGTCCAGTTTCCTAAGGAAATCTCAGTATTTGAGGCAAATTATCAAACTGGTTGATCTCGACTTACCTCACAGCATTTTGGGGACTGGCAGCATCAAAAAGCAATCCACTCCATGACATAAGTTTATTTTATGTAGTTTGCAGAAATGTTTTTGTTCCCATCTTCAAACTGAAGGGTGTGTGTGTGTGTGTGTGTGTGTATGCATGCTATGTGACCAAAGGAAGATAAATCATTGAGAAAATAAAAGATTCTTTTCTTTTTAAAAATATGTAAAATATTAAAGAATTTCATGAGCTCAAATATGTTTAATATTAATCATCTTTTAAATGTATTAAACTTTCAAAGAACAATAACTAAACACACAAGCACACACACACACAATTGAGTACATGTAAAATTATATCACTATCAATTTCCTGATTGTGATATTGTAGTATAGTCATTCAAGATGTTACCAAACAGGGGTTTATTGGGGAGATAAATGAAAGATATACAGGGTCTCTACATAGTAGTTCTTCCAACTGCATATGTAATTATCTCAAAATAGAAAGTTTTTAATTCTTTGCAGTGCTGGAGATCAAACCAAGGGCCTCACACATACCAGGCAAGCAATCTACCACTAAGCCACATCCACAGCCCTCAAAATAAAGAGTATTTAAAGAGCAATTAACATTTGTGTTTTTAAACATTAAACCTAAATAACTTTTAAAAATATGTGCCTATTGGTATATGTAGTACCTTCAAATAAGCTGGACACTGGTCAAGAGGGTACAATTAAGGCTAACCGCAATTCTGAAGCTGCCTTGAGTAGTGATCATAAAGTCTTGATGAAAAGCACACACTACAAATTCATTTAAAATCAAGAAACAATATTATACTGAAATTAGGCATTTAAGACCGTCTTAGAGTAGTGAGGCTGGCAGGCATTCAATGTAAGACAGATAATTATGTGTAAGGGATTCTTGAATCCAGTCAGCATCCAACACACACATATTAAGCACCTCCTGAATACAATTCCTGCCCTTGGGATAGAATTCTGAACTAGATGATCTTTAGGGGTCTCTGCTGATTGTCAGCAACTGGTTGGCTTCATATTAATTCAGTATTTCTAATGAAGAGCTGAATTTGGCAGGATCACAGCCCAAATCTCAAAATTCTTAGTACCAGTGCTATGATACTCCTTTTAACCAGTGATCGCCTTACTCAGATTGTTTTTAAAAGAAAGCAAGAAAAAAGGTGCAAATCTAGTTAAGCAGACAAGTTCCAAAACAACCTGCCACACATTGGATTCCACTCAAGCCTTTAGTAGGCAGAAGCAGATTCCTAAGTAGGAGGCACTTGCAGGATGACTGGAAACCCCTTCCCCAGCTGATCAAGCTCCTGAAAGGTGGGTAAAGAAATTCTCTTACCATCCTCAAATGGGGTCCCTTCAGGCCTGCAACACAGAGAAAACTAGTCAGTTCCCGCTTAAAGGGTTCCCTTCTCCCGGTTCATTTTAAGGGGATGGCCATCCAAGGTCTGCCATCCCTATCTCTGGTCAACCACCGGCTGCCTAGGTTGAAAACCACTACAAGTACACATTTTGGGCTCAGAAACACAGTGCAGGCCGCCGCGCCTAACCTCCACCACTCCCCACCCCGCCCCCCTAGAACTCCAAACGGTTCCCCCGGCAGCGGGAACCAAACTAATCGAGGCACAGGCTCCGGGGTGGCGCCTAGGCCCGACCAAACCCAAACATTTTCCCTTTCACCCTCCGCCTTCTTAAGGGGCCTGACCCGGAAAGCACACTGAGACGGTTGGTTTCCCCGATCCCTCGCCAGCACCGGGAACGCAGACTCACCCAAAAATGACCGCGTTCCAAACCATTATGTTGTTCTCGGACGGAGCCCCACTGACTCCAGCTGGAGGATCCTCCTGCAACCTTTAGAGACACAGACAGGGGCCCCCGAGTCCGGCACTCGCGTCCGCCCTCCGCTACCTTTACCCCACCCGACCCGGTCCGCCTCGGGACCCGCCCTGTGCCCCGGCGGGCAGACCCCGGCCTCCGCTATCCCCGACGGTTTACCTCTTGAAGTCCCGCATGAGGCGCCGCCGAGCCGGGGTGGACATATCTCTAGCAGGGTCAGGGGTGGGGCATACACCAGAGTCTCGGGTCCCCGCGGTCGGTAAGGAGGCCGAGGAGACCGAAGAAGCTGAAGAAGATGTGGAGGAAGCACCCAGAGGAACAGCACTGCCTCTCCGAAGTCGAGGGTCGGTCTGGCGCCGGCTAAGCACCACCCCGGAGTATACGGGGGCTGAACCAACCTGAAAGGAAAAGGGGGGGGGTGGAACGCCTTACGCCGGACAGGCCGTACCAACACGAGCCGGGGGCGGGGGGAGAGCGAAAGTTGCTTATGTCATTAAATCCCAGCTAGGAAGCAGGGAGTGGTTCCTGGATGGTCAAGGGTGAGAGGCAAGCTTCGGGGCAAACGAAGCCTACAATTCACAAGGATTTAGTGGTGGAACGGGTCTGTCTCTACTTGCCAATTTGAAGACGAACCCTGGGAAGTTTTCTGCTTTTTTTCTTCCTTTTTCTTTTAAGACCATATCATTTATTAAAGTGCACACTATGGCTGGGGTGGGGAAAGGAGGAGAGGAGAGGAGAAGATCACCAAATCCCAAACTAGTGGAAGTAGCAGTGGGCGGAGGCAAAACCGGTTCTCAAAAAGCGGGAACTCTAGGGTACAATCCCAGGCAGACTTAGGAGACCCGGATGGGAGTGTGCGGGGGGGGGGGGGGCGGGGGGGATGGGGGGGGGGCGGGGGGGGGGGGGGGGGGGGGTGCTGGGGGGGGTGAGGGGGGTGGGGGTGGGGAATTGGTTAAGATCCTGGAAAAGCAAAAGAATAAATCCTCCTTGACTATGAAAGGAGGCCCTGGGTCCCTTTTATATAGAATGAATGTTCAGGATTGTGATCCTAACATTTAGGGGTCAGTGATTACCCCAAAGCCAAATAAAATGCCATTTTGTGTCCTCAGGGAGAGAATGGGAGCTTAAGGCAAGTACAATATGTTTTTTGTTTGTTTGTTTTGTTTGTTTGTTTTAGTTCTGGGCACTCACAATTTGGCTCTGGAACCACATTTCCCCCTTGGCAGTTCAACAAGCCAAGCGGCTAGTATATGTTCAGAAGAGTCCAAGGTATCCGACTGCAGAGAATTGGAAGGATAGTGGATCTGGAGTGAAAATAACAGTAAGATGTGCGTGGAAAAGCTGCAGGTTTCAGGGAGGAGTCACAGTTAGTACGTGGACCTGCAAAAGCAATAACATTTTTAAAGAAGAGTTTTTAAAGGTCAATTCAAAATAATTTAGAAGGTGGGAAAAATGCTCATTTAAGAATTATAGAAAATATGAGAAAGGTAGGCTTAAGTCATGGACAGTTTTGAATTTCAAGCTAATGGATTCCTTAGAAGGTGGTTGAACAGGAAAATGACATCATTAGAGCTGTGCTAATCAGAGATTGGCCCCAGGAGAGCAGCTAGCCTACTCTCGCAGCATTTTAGGTGAGAGATACTGAACCAGGCAATGCCAATAAAGGAGTGGATGGGATGAATGGAGAGAACTTGGCAACAGATTGACTGCGGAGGCTAAGAGAGTAGCAGAAATCAACAATATGCTAAGTCCCAAGATAAGTGGGAATTCCAAGGTTCCATTATCAGGATTAGCATATAGAGGGGGAGGGGTCAAGTTTGGAAGAGGGAATTTTGAGTAGGATTTATGGAGTTCATGGGACAGATGAGACATCTACATGAAGATGTCCAGGAGGAATCAGACATGCAGGAATTGGATTTTAACATGGGAGTAAGGAGCCACTTGACAGTGGTAATGATTGTAGCTGCTGCTTAACACCAGGTATCTTCATGGTCAAGGATTTGTATCTCCCATTAACTCCAACTTATCAGTTAAGGCAAGTCTCTCTAATAGCATCATATAGCTGTGGTGGGAAGTGGATGCCAAAATAAATTTAAAAATCCTTTTCCTTGAATGTAGGAATTTGCAGTCTACTAAACACACACATATGAAATCAACAAAAGCAAGATGTGCAAAAGCAAAGGAATTTGTTTTCTATCACAGATTACCACAAATTGTAGGTCAACTCCAGTTTCTTGCAGTTATAGGACTAAGGTCCCTATTTCCTTACCAGCTCACAAATGGGGACCACTCTCAACTCCTAGAGGCTACTTGCAATCCTTACCACATGATCTACTACTTGCAAGATGGTTGAGCAAGGAAGTGAAATTGTTAGAGCTATGCCAATCTCTCAGCAACAGAGAATTTCTCTTCCATCAAATCCTTCTCACACTTTGAATCTTTCTCCAGGGAGAACCCAGTCCACTTTGAGGGCTTACCTGATTAGGCCAGGCCCACCCTGGATAATCTCCCTATCTTAAAGTCATCTAATTTGGGACCTTAATTAAATCTTCTAAATAGCTAAGTGGTAAAGCACTTGCCAGCACTGGCAAGGTCCTGGGTTCTATCGCAGCACTGCAAAACAAACAAATAAGTAAATAAAATCTGCAAAAGCTGGGTGTGGTGGCACACGCCTGTAATCCCAGCAGCTCAGGAGGCTCAGACAGGGGGATCTTGAGTTCAAAGCAAGCAAATTAGCATGGCTAATGGAGAGGTTCTTCAGCCTGGAAAAATGACAGTGATGGAAGTTGACTAAATACCTTCAAATGCATGGATAGGTAATTTAGTATTTTTAAAGTGGAATTTAGAATTTTAAAAATACCTTTATTTTATTTATTTTTGTGTGGTGTTGAGGTCCCAAATTAGATGATTTTAAGATAGGGAGATTATCCATGGTGAGCCTGGTCTAATCAGGTAAGTCCTCAAAGTGGACTGGGTTCTCCCTGAAGAAAGATTCAAAGTATGAGAAGGATTTGATGGAAGAGAAATTCTCTGTTGCTGAGAGATTGGCAGCCCAGTGCCTCACATGTGCTAGGCAAGTGCTCTACCATTGAGCTACAGCCCCAGCTCAGTAGTTTAGGTTTGATGGGCAGTACTTCTAAGAGTTGAGCATGAGAGAAATATATTGAATAAATCCTATTGAGAAGCAGCACACACTGTCCTGAAGAGTATGAAAGGGACTGGGAAGCTCTGATACTAAATATAAATGTTTGAGATTCATTGCAAGACATGAATGTATTTTGGGGGCTGAGGATGTAGCTCAGTGGTAAAGTGCTTGCCTAGCATGCGTGAGGCCCTGGGTGAGATTCCAAGCACTGTGGGGGAAAAAAAGTATTTGAATTTGTTGTGGGCTTCTCCTTTTTTTGGAAACCCCCTTTCTCTTCCTTCCTTGGACTGTATAATCATGACAACTCAAGAGCATGAACCAAAGCAGTTTGGAAGCCCCCATGGCATCTCCCTGGGAATAGCTTTTTCTGACTGTAGAATGGAATTACATCACAGGAACACTGTGCCCCCACATTCCTCATCAGAAGAAGCAGGGTTGTCATAGCAAGCAGTAACACAGAAGATTGTTTCCCAGCACAGACGATTATCAGGCTAGAACATACTAACTATAGCACCGTTGGCCAAGCATTCCTTCCACCCCCTCTCACCTTGACATCTTGAAGAAATACCCTCTTTACAGCCAAGCCTCACCCCCGCCTCCACTCAAGAGACTGGGCCAAGAAATGAGAAGCCCTTTTAATTTAAAGAAAAGGTGTATTGGTAATTAATCTGTGGGTTTTCACAGGTCTTTCAACCCTTGGGAAGATAAGAGATTCCAGATTTGAAATTTTTCCTAAAAGGGAGAACTGTGAATTGTGGGAATATATTATATGACTAAGGAAATTGTGAAGTTTCATTCATGAAGATTTCATCATGCAGAATGGATTCTGACTTTCCTGAAGTCAGAATTTTGGATTAGGGAAGATATGGAATAACTATCACTTATTGAATTATAAGGCTATATTTTAAGGTTTATATTTCTAGTATTTAGTGAAGGCAATAGACTTTTATTTTCCTATGACTGCCACTTCCTTTTTTTTGTACCAGGGATTGAACCCAGGGGCACTTAATCACTAAGCCACATCCCCAGCCCTTTCTTTTTCTTTCTTTATATATATTCTTTTATTTGGTACTGGGGATTGAACTCAGGGGCACTCTACCACTGAGCCACATCCCCAGCCCTATTTTTTTGTATTTTTATTTAGAAACAGGGTCTCACTGAGTTGCTTCGTGCCTTGCTTTTTGCTGAGGCTGGTCTGAACTTGCAATCCTCCTGCCTCAGCCTCCCGAGTAGCTGATATTACAGGCGTGCACCACCATGCCCGGCTTTATTTTTTTCTTTTGAGATAGGATCTCCCTGAGTTGCTTAGGGCCTTGTTAAATTCCTGAGGCTGGCTTTGAACTTAACCATGGAGCCACATCCCCAGCCCTTTTTATTTTTAAATTTTGAGACAGGGTCTCACTAAGTTGCTTAGAGCCTTGCTAAATTACTGAGGCTGGCTTCAAATTTGCTATCTTCCTGCCTTAGCCTCCTGAATCACTGAGATTACTGGTGTGTACCACTGTGCCTAGCAGACTTCCACTTCTAATGATAATATTTAGTCTAAATAGCAACTAAGAAACAATAGAGCCTGATATGGTGGCACATTCCCTGTAATCCCAGCAACTCAGGAGGCTGAGGCAGGATGATCAAAAGTTCAAGGCCAGCCTCAGCAATTTAGCAAGGCACTGTTTCAAAATAAAAAATTTAAAAAAGGACTGAGGATGTAGCTCAGTAGAAAGCACCCCTAATTTCAACTCCCAGTACCAAGAAAAAGAAAGAATGAAGCAATGAAACAAAAGAAAATAAAATCAAAAGTTCTTTCTTGACTCCAATATTACAAGATAAGTCCAGAGAACCACTTATAAGAAGCAACACTTATTACAGTGTGCCTCTTGGCAAGTAGTAGTTTGTTTTCCATCTACTGCCTCTAGGATTATCAGAATTTAGAGAAATGGGCAAATTAGGGCCTTGAATGTAGCTGCTGAATTGCTGAATCAAGAGCACAAAAATATGGTGTGGCAGGCTGAATGAGATGATCCCCCATCTCCATGTCCTAATCAATCTCTGGAACCTGTGAATATGTTACCTTATGTGGCAAAAGGGACTTTTCAGATGTGGGTAAATTAAGAATCAGGAGATAGGGAAAATATCCCAGATTAAGCGGGTGGGCCTGATGCAGCAACACTGATCCTTGCAAGAGGGATGAAGTTAGTCAGGGTTCACAGAAAAAGCCATGTGATGACAGAAGCCCAGTCTGGAG